CCCCTCTATCAAGGATGTGAACATCTTTATCCCTGAACGAGTGACAGGTGGCCTGCAGAATGCAGATGAGTGTAGACTGCAGAGTCCTGGTCTGATGATGTTGATCTTCTGTGCTGGGCCATCCTTTGGCCAGTGGCTGTTTAGTTTCCCCGATGCAAGACTGATCACAGCCCTCCTGACTTTGTCATACTGTCCTCCTGTTTGTACCGGGGAACTGGATCTTTTGGATAGACCAGTGTTTGCCGTAATGTATTTTGAAGTTTGAAAGCTCAGTTTCCCTGAAATTCCCACAACATACGGAATGACCACTGGTCTGGGTTCCTCCTTTTCACCTGATGGCTGACTGGAGTCCTGTTTGGGTTTCTTCTCTGCTTTCAGGAAGGTCCAGTTAGGATATCCACATTGCTCCAGAGCCTGGCTTGTGTGGGATTTCTCCTTCTGCCTGGCTTCTGAGTTAGTGGGGACGATGTCTGCTCTGTGGTACAGAGTCCTGATGACTCCTAACTTGTGCTCCAGGGCATGATGGGAGTCAAACCGCAAACACTGGTCTGTGTGGATGGGTTTGCGGTACACCTCAGTTTGCAAATGTCCTCTATCAGAGACTGAGACCTCACAGTCCAAGAAAGCCAGCCTGTCATTTTTTACATCTTCTTGTGTGAACTTGATGTATTTATCCACAGAGTTGATGTGGTCAGTAAAATGTTGGACTTCCTGAGATTTAATTTTAACCCAGGTGTCGTCAACATACCTGAACCAATGACTTGGTGGTGTCCCTGAAAAGGACGTCAAGGCTCTCTTTTCTACCTCCTCCATGTACAGGTTGGCAACAATAGGAGAAACTGGAGACCCCATAGCACACCCATGTTTCTGCCTATAATATTGCTCCCCATATGTGAAGTAGGTTGACTGCAGGCACAGTTTCAAGAGTTGACACAGTTGTTCTGTGGAAAGCGTGGTCCTGCTGCTCAGAGTGGTGTCTGATTTTAATCTTAAACTGACCACCTCTACTGCATCATCAACAGGAAGTAAAGAGTGATGTGACATCAAAAGAGACCATTGTTTCATCAGTCTCCATGATGACATCCCTCAACTTATCCAGAAAGTCCATGGTGTTCTGTATGTGATGTTCTGAGCTGCCAACTAAAGGGATGAGTACAGACGCCAGACATTTGAAAATGTTGTGACAGAGTTAATCATGCTAACCATTAGTCTTAACAGTAAACCTCGTTTGTGAATTTTGGGTAAACCATACAAACCAGGCATGGCCTCCCTTGGCTAAATGGTAAATGTAGTGTACTTATATACCGCCTTTCTATCTAATCAAAATATTCAAAGCTCTATTCAAACACAATCTGTGTCCTCATTTACCTACATACACACACACATTCATACAGCACTCTACTACATCTCTACAAAGCTAATCTGAATCTGTAGAGACTAATCATTGTTTTTAGATCACATTCGTACACTGATATGACACACATCAGAGGCAATGAGGGGTTCGGTGTCTTGCCCAGTGACACTTCAACATGTGACTGCTGGTGAAATCGAACCCTAACTCTCCCATTGGAGGACGACCGCTTTAACCACTCAGCCAAAGATGCCCAGGAACAATCCGTGGTGCAGAATACGGTCCATAGCCTTGTCCTGTTCCATATGTTTCAGGCACTTTATCATCTTCTTCTTGTAGCCACTTCCTGGATCTCTTTTCAGCGGCTCATAAGTGGTTAAATCACTAAGGAGTGTCAGAACTTTCTCATGATAGTCTAAACGGTTGTGCACCTTCCTTAAGTCTGCTGGAGGAAGATGATGTTCTGGTCCTTGCTGAGAGCGATGAGTCTCTGCTGATGTTGGAAGGTGGTGGTTTGGTGTTGCTGAGGCAGGCTGAAACTTTGATCGCAAGTTGTTCTGCTTCAAACAGTAATTTTGTTGTTGTGGATGCCTGATTCTGTGGCCGTGATCATCTCATGATAAAAGTGACTCACTCATGTCTGAATGTTCCATCCATTTCTAAAGAGCTCTCAAAGTTAAATAGAAGCATTACTCTTACCTTGATGAATTCTCGCCATGCAAGAAACCAGTATGTTGACTGGGAGACCATGCCGTGAGTTTTTGCCACAGAATAAAAACAGAAAGAGGGAGAATGGCAGCTATGTGGAAGGCGTGTAGGCAGTCGGAGTCTCCTTGGCCATACTGTAAGCCTGACTGCACATTAACAAATACAGTAACTGCATCAAACATCTCAGGAGTTGATACAGAAAATGAAATTAGCGCATACCAGACGAGCAGCCCTGTAAGCTTTGGGGGCATTTCTACTAAAGTGATTCAGACAGTTGAGGAATGCAAACAGCGTGGCGCTGATTAAATCCTGGAAAAGATGATGAGCTCAGTGAGCAAAACACCAGAAATGCATGACCTTTCCAATGGCTATTTATGAAACCCCCTACCAACAAGAATTATTCTTCGTTTTCCCTGTTCAGATGATGCCAGAAATGTTTCTGCCTTTATTTTTTTTATTTTATCAGATCCTCCACTGAAACATGTGGGAACGTTTTCACAGAATAAAACGTACATAATTTAAATCAGAAAATAAGAATACGTAAGAAATTAGACTACCCAGCAGTTTTTATGTGGGTATTGATCAGATGATACGTATGGGTCTTTGGGAAATAAAATTTAATTTATCAGTCGTAAAAGAATTACATTGGTGGAACTTCTCATCCATCCAGGAAATTAAAACTCTAAATGGTTTAAAAGAAGAATTAAAGTCCAGAAACCTTTTATTTAACCTCTTAGGACTTGAAAGACTTGTTGAAAAAAATATATAAATAATTTGAACAATCTAACAGAAACTTTTTTCCCCCATTCACTGCAAGATAAACTGCAGTAATCCATGAGATTACTGAGATCAAAGTTTTATACCTCAGCTGTTCTAGATGCTTTCGAAGTTTGTAAACATTTGGAAAGATCGAGTCTGACCTCGGCAGGAGAAACACTGATCATGATCGTTTAGTCATAAATGTTCATCTGTATATGGACTGTAAGGAAAATATGTTATATTATGTTGTTACTGAGCAACAAAAAGGAAAATATAAATTCCAAAGCATTCATTCTCCACTTTGTACTGATTTAATTTTGTTAGTTCGATTATTTACATAAATATAAATATATGTTATACGACTAAAAGCTTAGCTTAATCCATGCTAGGTTTAAAAATAAGAAGACGGCTGCAGCTAATCTGAACTGGCCAAGCTGCCGCCTACGTGAAGTTGTGCTCCGTGTCTCTCGAGCGCCCAGACTGGATCACAAACTGGATGTGATTTGTGAGAATCGCAGGCCATATGCGACCCCTGGGCTAGGACTCGCTGGCAGGACGGACCAAACCTCGGGGAATATTCTCAGGCGCGGACCAGTGGCGTGTCCACTTCATTTGGACGTTTCAGAATCTACGTGAGACCAGCAAAGACTCGAGGCAGATAAAATTCAGTAAAGTTCTGTCTCCAGAACAAACGTGGTTTATCTGAATTCGGCTCGATCGGCTAGCCTTGCAGGCCACCTTATCTCAATTCGCCTGGAGGCTCTGTAATCTGACGCTCTGCCCCCCTCCCTCCCACCGAGGAAGTCCATGGACCAACCAGGGAGAACCAGATAATTGTGTCGTCATTTCAGGACTCTTGGATTCTCACTGGCGCCGTCCTTGGCCACTCCTCGACATCTCCAGAGAATGCTTATGGATCTCACCAGAAGGAACTGGCTGATTATTCCATCCTTATCAGAACTCCTACAGTGCCTCCGGGAGCGTCCTTGGACTTTCTGTCCGCTCTTGTCATCTCCGCCACCACCCCCTCTGCAGAATGTCTATGTCTCCATGTGCTTGTGTGCGAGGGTTTTTTTTCACTTCCATGCTTTTAATCTCCAGCCAGAGATTAAGAGCATGTTAGGACTTATTCTGCCTCCAAAACCTACAGTACGTTGTCACTTTCATCACTTCTTGTCCAAACAGGTCTCACTTGTAAATGAGTCTTTGAGGCTCAAAGTGATTTATCTGTTTAAATAAAGGTTGAATTAATGGGGGAAAGCAAATAAATTGATAAACAATAAGGAAAGCAAATGTTAGTCATTTAATAGTCATGAAAATGCGTTCAGACTCCGCTTATAGTTCATATGTGTCAAACTCACGGCCCGGGGGCCAAATGTGGCCCTCGTTGACATCTTATCTGGCCCCCAAGATGATATTTTGAACGTAAAATACTTTTATCACTTTAATTTTTCAGTAATATTTGATTAGGATGTCCAAAGTGCAACAGCGAACGTCAAATGAGACCAAACTCTTGTTGAGGAACCTGCAACCAAGAAAAGATGGTTGGTCTCTGACTTGAGTTATAGATTCTGAAAAAGGCCCTTAGTTTGAAAAAGGTTTTAATTTTGGCCCCCTTTTGTGAGTCTCACACCCCTGCACTGCCCCGCCTACTTGACACTAAAGTCTGCCGTCATAAGGTAAAAGTTTCAGATCAAATCTGTATCAGTGATTCTGGCAGTGCAGTTAATTGGAGTTGGATCAATACCAAATTTTGCACACCACTAACAAGCAGCCTAATGTTGGTGAATCATATGACTCAAGCTTCCACGTGGTTTTCAGCACAGCCGGCCAAGCCCTTTGTTTACGTTGAGCGCATACCTGCATTTCATACTTCCACATCGACACCTCTGGAAAACTACTGGAGTGAACTCCTTCAAACTGCTCCATCTGTTTATACATAGTTCACGATAACCTTCACTATGTTTCATTTCATACTTTGCAATGAGTAGCTTTAATATGTACAGAAGGATTTAATGCCAATATAATTATGGGATGTTTGTTAGCACCTGGCAGCAAACCAGTGGTGTGCCTCACATCACCTGGGAGGACATCCAAGGTAACGAGGCGCCCGACATATTTTCAGATCACAACGCACTGATGAAACAATCACACCAGGAATTCTTAACGCTGGCGGACTCACCCACGGCGGCAGCTCCGCTGTCTGCACACTTTGCTTTGCAACTTTGTCCTCGTGCTCCAGGTACGCCAAGGCCCGGTTTATCTTGTAGTCCTTGCTGCTGTAGTTCTTCCTCCAGTAGAACAGCGCGGCGAGCCCAATCAGAACCCAGCTGAAGCTGAACTCAAAGTATCCCATCATGTAGATGGGGAATATGATGGCGAAGGTTTTGGCAAACTTAATCCACATCTGAGTGACGTCCGTCAGAGAGGACTGATGCTCTTCGTTCAGCTCTTCTGAAGACATGGGTGGGCCCAACGGCGATGGCGGTGGGCTGCTGCTGCTGGGGGGTCGGACCTGTCCATTCGCTCTCACACCTGGCCCCGTGGGACCGTCCATAGTGGTAGTCATTTCCTGTCTGGAAAGACAGTGATTTAGTGTCAGGTATGTTGGTAAACACATTTTTTGTGTGAGTCTGTGCAAAGCCATGAGACTTATGCGTCAACAAACCAAACGTTGGTAGAAATGAGAGAACTAGAACGAGTTTTACATGAAAATAAGAGAGGACATCAAAGTTCAGGAGCAGATAGACAACACGTGTGGGAGCTGCAGAGACAACGTCATACCATTCACAAGAGTCGGATCCGAACAGCAAAACACCATCAGGAGAGGAATCGGCGAACAGCGGCAATGTTGGTTTTTACTTTGCAGGTGTAAAAATGACTACCGGTGTTTGAAGAAGCAATAAAACAGAAAGTCATAATATATAACGAGTATTTTTTTTGTGCCATCGAGTTGAGTGTACAAAGACACTGGCATGTTTGTAGAGAATAAGATGTGCAAACAATAATGTGTCATGTGTCAAGTCTCACGAGCCTGTTTGCTCGCAGGAGTTGGCACACATAAGGCAGGCTGTTTCATCATATAATCAAATCACACACCTGCCTCTATTTATTAAGATTTTTTATTTAATATTGGAAATTCTCCTGGTCACAAAAACATTCTTACTAGTCCCAAGTGAAATTAAAGATATTTATAATCACATTAAAACAAGCAGATATTAAAATTACTTCTGTGGATCTTTAAAAAGTTGAAGTGAATGACTCAACATTTACGGGTCAGAAATATCAGTAGCACGTGCCCAGGCTGTTGATTTAACGTTAAATGAACCTCGTGAAACTTTTAGGGTTTCTAGACATTTTAAACTTGTGTCTACTCAGACAATTGGTTTTGTAAATTGTAACTTTAGTTTGTAATAATCTGAATGTCTTGTTAATTCGGTTTGATAAGAATGTGACCAGGAGAGATGCTTTTTTTTCCAAATCTAAAATATTATCATTGTTATAATTATTGTTTGCCCAGCTTATAGTGCGCCCAACTTGATGGCACAAACGTGCTCCACGCTCCTCCCGTGTCTGTAACTTACTTGAAGATCCTCACGTGTTTGTTGCACATTAGTTATTTTTATTAGGGCTCGGCCTAAATAAAACCACACTGTGACAAACTGAGAGCGGCACCACTTCTTAACCAGAGCCCCTTTATAAAGAATTTATTAATGCTTTGAAAGTAGGTTATTCATGAGTTTGCAAACATTTTATAAAGCACTAATAATCGATCAGTAAACACTGTGTGTACAATAAAGCAGGCTCATTATTTAGAAGGTGTCGTGCTATAATTTGTTCCTTCATAATTTGGATTTTAAATATCGGACGATATGCCTGCAAGTAAACACTGTATCTGTAGATAAAAGGTTGGTTTGGTTAAATAAAGTTATTTATTTACACATGTAAGCTGAGCAAGAAGCAGAAGAATACATTACATTAAACTGAATGCATTAAAGTGCAGCGTTTGAGCTCATCAAAACTGTTTTTATACATGATTATGCTTAATAAAGCTTTCACAAATTAATTCATCTATTTTTTAAAGTGCCTTTTTCACATCTTAAACTACTTTTATTATGTGCAATTTAGATTATTAGCAGCAGTGTCATAAAATGTTGGAGTGTTAGTCAAATATGCAGGACTGTAAATTTAATATATATATATATATATATATATATA